TGTCCCTAAATTTCCAGTGTTTCATGTTTGTCAGTGTGTTACTGTACCAGCTGTGTATCGAATGCACACAAATTAAAATGTATAAATAAATATATAAAAGATGAAGTAAAGGAGTAAAACTGTTGTGAACATGTTCATAGCAACACTCCATTCACATGCTGCTGAATCATCGTCATCATTATTAGTCATCACTGCTCCTCATTCTCACACAGCAAAGATGGATTCAGCCTCCTATAATCTGTATTTACAGCATACAGCAGATGTCAGCTAACATCTAAAACAGCATCAAGTTATGAAATTCTGGATTGTAGACTCTTACAGTTCAGAATCTTTAAATAAAGTGACAAACAAGAAAACAGTGCAGCTGATCGGACCCTGTTCAGCTGGGAAACAGTAAAGACGCGAAATCCTTGTTTTGTTGCTCGAGGAAAGCTGAGCTCAGTCAGTCACAGCAGCTTCACCGGCTCACGGTTCATTTGATCGTTTCATCCTTCTCAGCGTCTTGAGGCAAAAGCAGAGCTCAAACAGAACATTTTAGCTCCCTGCATCGTTCATTGGTTTTACTGTAGGTTTCACTGAGTCCGCCTGGAGAAGAACTCGTTGGCACTAAGAACGAGCCAATAACAGGTCATTTTAAACTGAACTGTGCAAATAAAAAGGTTTAAACTCTTCAGGAAACGACTCTGGCGACGCCTCTGGTGTGTCGGCCGCGCAGCCGTCGTCCTGTTCACAGCGTGTGTGAGTGCAGTCGAACAATGAATGCATCCTCAGTTTAGTCAGTGTTTGTGTGCACGCTGCCTCCGCCTTGCTCTGCACCACCTGCAGGGCGGTGCTCCTGGTTTTCTAAAAGAAAAGCAGACAAAACATTTTTCTCAGAAACGATCCAACAGCGATTTCTCGACTGTGAAACAGATGAATGCAGGTTTTAATCCTCTTCACCAGAGTGTGCGCAGCACAGTTAGAGCTGTAAGTATCTGGACATCAAACACTTCTCATTTTCTATTCAGTGTCTGTTCACCATCACAGTGGACTCAAACAGTTAAGGTGTGACCAAAGTGCTGCTTTAAAATTACATTTTTATTCATATTTCTACAGACTGTCAATGTCTGCTAACTCGGTGCAGCACAGACACGAACACTACCTGCTCCATCTAGAAGGTTTTGGTCCACGTTGTCTCGATGTGCATCTCCCCACTCATCTGTGGAAACAGCACATCAAAGTGTAGCTGCTGAGTGTGTCAGTCATCTTATCTCATTGTGTTTGTGAGTGAGCCAAAGTCCAAACCTTCATCCTGTGGATCCTCGTCGTCTCTGCTCCCTTCATTTGCTGCCTCTTGAGATTCTAACAAAATCAAAGAAACAATGGTTGACAAACATTAAAGAACTGTGACATGTGACACGCTGTCTTTGGATGTGAGCGCTCCGAGACCCTCATGCTGCAGGATCACTCTTTGCATGACTACCAGAGTCCCTTCCAGCTGATTTCAGGGGTTCCTTCTCTCCATGACGAGTTTAATTTTGAAATATAGCCGTCTGCACAGTGTTGGTAACACCATCATGGTCTCTACCATATATTTCCAAATATGTCACTATTTCCCAGGCGTTCCAGATGTTGAACCTCTGCTGTGAGAGCACCAGGACCGCCTCCCCCCTTCTTACCTTCTTGGAGCTCCATTTGTTGGTCTGCATGGTTTTCACCTCCTGGCTGTTCTACACCAGAAACAAAGCAAAGCTCTTCAGTCAAGAATCAACTGTGGAGCTGTGACCCTCCAATCGTGTCATCATAGATCTTTTTGACCTCACTGCAGAATTACCTCCATTCAGTTGTCCGTTGGATTCATCGCCAGATTTGCAGCCTAAAAGCAAAAGCAGAGGAAAAAGGTTAGGAGCAGGAAACACTAAATAACTGAAGTGCTGTGAGAAAAATATTGTTTCATTTGGAAAGTCAAATTTGGATGTGGGAAGAAACAGCCAGATCCTGACTGGTTCACCAAAGATCTGACAGATAGAAGTTAAGCTCGAATCTAATTCAGTTACGGTCACTGTCACTTCCTGTTTTATTTTGTAATCCTGGATATGTTAGGCCTCTGTGTCTTGACTAACAGTCTTGTTAGTAACAGCGGCTGTATCCCAACTCAGAGTCTGCAGCCTTCAAGGCCACATTTTAAGGCCAATTACGTCACAGCGACGCGACGAAGGCTGTCCCAATTCGAAGGCTGCTCGAAATGCGGCCCTCAAATGCGTCCTTCATTTCCCTGAATTTTAAGGATGTGGCGGTGTAGACTTCGTGGCCCAACATATCCCAGAATGCATAGCGCGGCGGTGGGTGTGGATAAT